TATATGTTTATTCAGAGAAAGTACGTTTTTGTGTCTGATTTCGTAACTTAATTAATAGTTAGCACTAATTAATTAGCATATTTGAGGTCACCCCCAGGAACCATTAAGATTGACACTTAGTTTGTGAAAATCGGATCATTAGAACGAAAGTTATTCAGGGTGATATCTTTTTTTTTTTTGCGGACTGTACACCCCTGCTGGAAGCCATTTTTATGTACTTTTAAAAGAGTTACGTCACAAAAGATATTCTCACGCTACGTAAGTACTTTTTTTGGTATTAGAATATTATATTGTAACTAAGTAATTTTGTTTAAACATATAAAAATTATTAACCGAATATGTAAGTGGACACCTTAATTAACATTTAAAAGAAACGATTAGTTTTGCTAATTAACTAGCATTGTTTTTAACAAATGAAGCTGAAATGGCGTCTTGGGGACGATTGTAACAATAAGTTAAGGGACGATTGTAACAGCTGAAAATAAATTATCTTATGTTTACAACCCATTACTTAACTCTTTAAGAACCACCAATAGTTTCCTACATCATTTATATCATGTTGCATGTGCATTATTTTATTTGTCACCTTTCACAGCATAAATTGAAATTGTTTACCCCTTAAAGTTAAAAGTTTAACCCTTTAGGTCTCTGCTCATTATTATTTTTACTCCTAAAATATCACTACTATTTTGATCAATAAAAAAATATATCACAACTATGATAATATGTATAATTAACTATGTTTCAGTTGAATTTATGAACTGTTACAATTGACCCCGTAAGTGGGGACATTTGTAACAAGTGCACGACTGTCAAAAATTATTAATAACTAATATAATAATATTTAAAATAAGGTATTTTTTTTCTCTAGTAGAGGATAGTCTACTTTACTCGTCTGTCAATTAATACTAATAATATATTGGATTTTTGGTTAGTTAAAAATAGTTGAGTAAAAAGTGTTACAATTGACCCCACTCTCCCCTACTGTTAATATTTTGACATAATAACTTTTGAGCTTGAAGACACTTGAAAAATCATAAGGAAGTCTCTCTAACTTCAGTTTGGTTGTAATTAGACTTTAACCTAGATTGTTTCACTGCGAAAGTAATTTTGTGTTAATAAATAGCGTTGGTTTGGGTTAGATTATTACCACATGGATTTAAATTTGTGCCTACAAGAGAGCGTATACAAGGTTTATTCAAATCAAAATACCTATCGAAATGATGCAATATTGTCCATTTTTACGTAAATCATTGCTAATCTTATATCCTGGTGATAATTTAATAATTCAGAGTGCATTCTCATACGACGTTGGAATGTAAAAACCTAAATTTAAACATTTACAATAATATTTGCCTTAACCTATCGAAAATATTTATTCCCAAAATAATTCTACAGTGACATTCGAAGATTGTAATGACTAGTTCAAATAAACCGAAAGTCTCGAAAATATTAAGTTTGGTTGAAGACTATTTTCAGAACTTTTTCTCTTTTTTATCCGCCTGAGGTTTCGATTTTCTCTATTTTTCTGTCAGTGGGAGATGAAAGATCAGAAAATGCTCAACCGTGGCATTCCGAAATCAATATTCTCAGGAAATCTCGACAGGTATCATTACCTTTTCTGTTTAAGATAATTTCGCGAGGGAGGAGGAAGAAAGGGGGAAGAGTGAGAGTTGTATTAACCCAGCAGGGTGATTTCTCAGCTTCGTCCCACTCAATTTCCAATTTTCTGATTCGGTAACGAATTTCAGTTCGAGAAAGACTTATTTGAGACATATTGAAACTGGTAGTTAGGAATTATAAAGAAATGTGGCTGAGAAATTGTTTCTCAGAAGAGTTTTTTAGTTACTCTACTCATTTGGAGTTTTGAACAATGTAATGCGTTTTTTTTTGTCATAAATATTTCAAAATTACTTATGTTTAAATAATAGTATAAAGTTTCATCCTTTAATAATAATACTTTCTTTAAAAGTCAAACGCTAAGCATTTAAGTTGCTTTTAAAAGTCGTCCTTTAAAGAGGAATTAAGAATTTATTCTTCAAATAATTACAGAAAAAGCCTTACAGATATCTTTTACCCAATTACAGATATCTTTTAGCCAATTACAGTTATCTTTTATAAAAGAAAAGGAGAGAGAGAGAGAAAGAAAGAGGGAGAAAGAAAAAGAGATTTAATTATTTTTATCATGACAAATACGGTATTATTTGTAGTGTATTTTATTACATTGAACAGAATAATACCTAATCACCATCTTGAGCTTGAACTCATTTAATTCAGCTTAAATATATATATTACGAGCAATATCTCCTTTGCACATTGCAAAAGTTTAATATTCCGAAATTTTAAAAAACACAGCCAAAGACGCTTACTCCTGTCGCAAGTTTTGCATGTTTAAAACACTTTATAAATTCCAGGAGTATAGTACATGTGCTGGTTATAATATATTAGAAATAATAAATGCTTTGAAAGAATAATAACAAAGTTCGTGCAAGTTTACCATTTATGACAAACCCAAATTTGGTGTTGATTTATTTGAGGTTATTCTGTATTTCTAGAAAACGCATCGGTACACGCATCGGTTATCTATCTAGAAAAAGCATCGGTTAATTAGAAAACTCTACTTATTCCTTGCTTTTATATTTTTCCAAATTATCTTTTAGGTTTCCGATTTAAGTACATCATTTATTATTTTGTAGTAAATTATTGAGAAAATATTATTTTTATATTTTTAGGTGGACATGAATCCCTCAATGGATGTGGAAGACCTAAAGAAGAGATACTGTGGTCGACTCCAGCACTCTTTGTTTCTCTCCTTGCTTCTAATTTGCATATTTTATGGTGCTGCTTTTCTCATTTTAGTAACAGTCATCTATCCTCACGTAAGTTGCAGTATGATAAAAGTATAATTTAATGATTTTTCAAACCAAATGTGGAAAAATGATGTTAGACGCTCTCTTAAACTTCAGACATTTAAAAATATAACGTGTAAAGAGTAAGAGTTGTCTGTAAATAACGTGTTCTCGTGTACTTTCATCTGAATGATTTGTTTTCCGAATTTCATTTGACATCTACGAATGTTATCCGAAGTACAACAATAATCAATAATAGTCCAGCAAAATTATGCTTTTGCTTCGGGAAAATTGATTGATTTTTTTTCTTCAATAGAAAGCTGTGTTTTGTCCTCATAAATGATACCAAAAATCTTTTCCTCTCTCCCCTGTATACTTCACCCTTTTTTTTGAAGAGAAATGAGGGTGATTTGAGTGGGAGAATTTAACATCATCCACATAGGTAAATAAAGCATTGTTTCTGATGCATTTTTTCCCGATGAATTGAAAGAAATTAATCAGACCAATAGTTTAAAAGTTATAAGGGTTTTATGGTATAAAAAATATAAAATTGTTTACTTGTATATATTTATGCATCTAATATTGCTATCTAAACAAATGAGGCACTGTATCCTATGTATTTTTTTCGCTTAACTGAATGAGGCTATACACGCGTCAATGTGGTGAATAGTTCAGAAGTATTTTAGGTATGAAATAGTACGTTTTTTGACGTGTAAAGGGTGTCCCAAAACTGAAGCAAAATTTGAATTTGTCGCCATTTTTGCAGTAAAGTGTTAGCAACCATGAAAAAAGAACAATTTGACAGCTGAGAGCTTAGGGTTGGTAAAAATGGAACGTTCAAGACTGTTCCACATGCCATACAGCCAGTGAAACAATTCAATTACTGCATGAGACATATCTTCGTTGTGTACTCTCTCGTTTCGGTGATTAGAATTGGCCCCCTAGATCGTGTGATTTAACACCATTAGATATCTTCTTATGGGGCTATTTGAAGTCAAAGGCTTATGTCTACAAGCCAACAACCACCCGTGCATTTCAAGAGGAAGTTAAAAACTACATTAACGAAATTCATTCGCAATTATGCAGAAAGGTCATAAAAAATTTCGACTAAAGAGTGCGTATGTGCCAGCAAAGCCATAGAGGCCATTTGTCCGATGCGTTATTCCGTAAATAACTCTTTCCAATGTACTTTATGATTCAATGAAAGAATAATTCTATTTAATTCAAACCTTGCGTTAATTTTGGGACACTCTTTATTTTGTACACTTTTTAAATTGCTATACAAGGACTATTTGAGCATGTAAGGTATATTTTCTGATGTAATTTTTCGCGCTTAATTGAATGAGATCAAGTTCAAGATCCTTATACTAGAGTGTAACTACACAGCTATGCTTTTAATATTTATAAAAATCGTAATAGCGGAAAAAAGTGCATCAGAAACAATGTCTTACTTACCTGTGTAGAAGAAGTTGAATTCTCCCACTCAAATTACCCCAACTTCTCTTCAAAATAGGGTGAAGTGTACAGGGTAGAGTGAGGGAGCTCTTAACTATTGCTTATAATGACTTTATAAAGCTTTCTGTCTAAAAAATCTTGGGTAATAATTTTTCCAAAAAAAAAAAAAAATCCCTTTAATTACTGGACTATATAGGTAATACTATATACTATGTATACCAGTATTGTGGTCATTTATGAAGAGAGTTTTAATCGATCAGAAATGTAGAATTAGTTTATAATGTAATGAGCATAAAATGATATACTTCACTGTACGGAATTTTTGAGCGTATTTAACAATAATAGCGACTTTAATACGATGCTAAATTGTATCATTTCATTATATTAAATCAATTATCCCAAGAAACCGAAATAGAAAGATATATTTGATTAAAAACTTCATTTTTTTTAAAAAAAAATGTGAAGATAGTAATAAAAGTTGACATGTTTCAAGTGCTCAAAAATAGGCGCTCATTTTCAAGAAGAGCCGGATGTCAAACCGTTTCACGTCTTGAGAAAGCTTTATAGGCCTTGAGAAAATATTATAAATTAAACTGTAGTTGATTCTGTTTCGGAGTTTATGGCACGTTCTTTAATGCTTTTTACTGCTGGGTAAATTTTATTCATCAAAAATATTAAAAATCTAACAAGCGGAAAAAAATTGGCAAAGCTTTAAATAAATATGTGGTTCGTTATAGCATTGTTGTTAAAAAAGATCATCTCCTTAAATGCCACTGTTAGTCCACAAATTGGCATATCAAGGAAGGAATCATTATTTTACTATTTGTTGAATCTATAATTTACGCAAGTCCCGCCAGTCCATTATCCTTCAGCACTTTAACTGGTTTTCACATGTAAGAAGCTTGAGATTTTTCGAAATAATGAAAAGCTTAATTTCATGACTAAATCTTCTGTGGAAGACAAGTATAACATCGATATTAAATAATTTATCTGTCTTTATGATAAATGCCCTTGAAACATAAGTTAAACATAAGGAAACACGAGGAAAATCGTAGAGTTTTGTTCAGCATTGTCCTTCATATAATCTTTTATTGTCCTGATGTGTGACAAGTTTCTTTTTTCTTGTATGACATTTGTACAGTTGTATCTTCACTCCAAATCATTCAAATGCTTCGTCCGCTCTAAAACATTCGCTGAAAGTTGCATCAAATAAATTAATAGAATTTAAAATAAATTGAATTTAGTGATAGAATTAAAAAAAAATTAAGAAATTACAAAAGATCATAATTTATCAAGAAATGTCAGTAAAAAGTCAATCTTCTCTAATATTTTAATAATTCAGACATCTTTAATAGCTTTAGGGTGTGTATAACGGGTGTAGCATTTAATATTCAGTTGCTTTAAGATTTTAAGCATTATTTTCCAAACAAATTTTACTAATTCAAAGTAAGACTAGATAGCCTTGAATTTTTAATGCTGCATAAATCAAATACCTTAATAACGTATAACTTTCGTATAGTTTTTCTTAATTTTAATTTGTTGCTAAAATATTTACTCATAACTCTCACGTACTAAAATAATCAGGTATTCCCTTTACTCATAACTCTCCTTTGATCTAAAATTAAATCGGAAAATACATAAATAATTACTTTATATATCGGAAGAATTACCTGATATATAACGAATTTCCGAAAATTAGTAGTAAAATGGTGTAGAAGAGATACCATATATAAATAGAGAGGACTCTGTCTGCTTCTTGCTCCAAACCCAAAGATTGCTCTACAATCATATTTATTTCTTGGCAATAAAGAGAATTTTACATCAAAATTAAATATTATTTAATTAAAAGATTTGTTGTTTTTGTCGTCAGCCATTAAGGCAGATGGGGAGCAATTATTCTTGTTTTCCAGTGGCGCCATCTATGGCCAAGAATTCGACTTCTGCCATACCCATACGTCACCCGGTTCATTGGGCGGACGCTTTAATACATCCATTCATTCGTCTACAGATCGTAATTTTGACCTGAACCAGAGAACGATCAATATTCAATTCAGTACCCCAGAGGTATTGATTTCCTAATTGAACATAGAAGACTTTGTTACCCGACAGATTTACCGTGCACCAGTCACCATTTACTACACGGAGAGTCTTCGGCAGGCTGGATTTGAACTCCCGTTCTCACAAACGTGAGTCCAGAGTCCTGCCAATCAAGCTATCCCGGCCATATTAAAAGATTTAAAAATGTTTTATTGCATTAATGTTTTTCTTAAATGAACATCGCTTAAATAACATATTTACGCCTATTCTGTCAACTAATTTTGTTTGCCATTCTACAGGGAAACTATTCAAACTTGATAATTTTGGATAATTTTCATAGTGACTTCATCCTCCAGTTTGTTTGAAATTTGGTTACAATTAAAACTTTTAAAACAGTTTTTGCTAAAGAAATTATTCAGTAAAAATGAGAAAATTTTATCTTAAATGCAGCTTAAGCAATTTTTATTTCCCTGTTTTAATTGAATACCCAAACTAAAAAGTAGCTTAACGTGCGATTATGTATAATAAAACTACACTTAATTTAACACTTTAATTTAAGCTTTTAATTTTTAACGATACTTAAAATTTCAAGCGTAGAGTTAAGAAGTGTATTAAAAATGGATGATAAATATATATTATAATTAGAAACCATTAAATAACAATTTGCAGATAAATACCATTATAAAGATTATTGATTTTATGATGACAATGAGGGACAAAGCTATCTGGATCACCTTTATATATTTAAGACCATTTGCATTTTCTGTTCATTGAGAGTGTATGATGCGGCAATAAGACAAGTATCTTTTTATATTTGTATTATTTTACTATAAATGTCCTCAATAGATTAAAATAGATCAGCATTGCCGGCAGTGGAACTAATCGATAAGAAGCAACGTGAAAATCCCTCACAAAGTCATGTAAGCAAAACCACTAAAGCGAAGTGAACTTGAGTAAATTAGGGTACTTTAGGAACTTGAAGACCTCTTTCTCCTTAATGGAGGACAAGTAATGCAATTACTTCTTTTTGATGGCCAAGGAAGACAAATAATTTTAGAAAGCGCGACTATTAGCTTGTTCTAATTAAGAGATTCTAAGGAGAGCATTCTAAAGCGACATGTCGACAACTAAATCCCTATCTGGAAACAAGCCACTCAAGGATTCCTACTTAGGGAACATTTTTCAGCGATGTACTTTAATTATAGTTAGCGAAAAAGAAAGGATTTGGGGAAATAAAAAAAGAGACAACAGAAGTGTTGATTCCTTTAGCCTTGTACACAAGAATTAAATTTATAAAAGAATTTACAGAAGACCAAGAGGTGACAGAGGTGATTTATTGTCGTCGTTGTGAAGGCTGGATTAAGAAATCACGGCTACAGAATGCCGCTTCTAAGACATGTTGTTTTAATCTGATTATTTCTGTATACAGTTATGGTGAAAATATTTATTCATAGTGACGTTTGCTAAAAGGTTTAAAACACGATTTGTTTTTGGTGGTACTTTAACAACATTTAACATTTTTCTATTGTATTTAATTA